GGGAGGCGGCGGGGGAAGCGGGGACAGCCACCACGGGGGAGCCAGCTACGTCCCCGAGAGGACCTCCTCCCTGCAGCGGCAGAGGTGAGCAGGGGCCGGTGGTTGGCAGCCAAGGCCAGAGGGGCCGATGCTCTGGGTAGCAGAGTCCACCGTCCCCATGGCGGTGTCCCCTTCGGGTCCCAGGTGCTAGAACGCAGACACCAGGCTGGCTCAGCGCCGTCTGCCCTCAGACGAGCGTGCTTTCCGGTGCTTTGCACTGCCTTTTCTCTCAGGAGCTTCTGTGGTCTCCTCCCATCACCATGACAAGCCCCATGCTGTGATGGACAAAAAGAGTTATTAACCGAGGAGACTGGAGCACAACTTGCTGATGTCTGTTTCCTTGGCGGGTTGTCAGTTCTGAAGATCCCTGAAATCTGCAAGTCCCTTGAACCCGCCGCGGCTCAAGACAAGATGTGCTTTAGGGCACAGTGGTTCCATGTGTCATTCTGAAGCCGGGCTTCTTGTGGTTCTGGTCCCAGCCCTGCGCTGTCTAACGGGGGGAACCTCGGGCAAAGGAGTCCACCTCTCCGTAGAGGCAGGACAGCGTAGTGCCCACCTAAACCGGCTTTTGAGACCACTGTTGTAACATGAGGTGGGAGAGGGGCGGGGCCCAGCCAATCAAGATGGAGAAATGTAGGGCGATGCCAAAGTGTTCCAAAGCAGCCAGCTAGCCAGGATGGCCACAAAGTTCAAGTTCATTCAAGACCTGGCCTCAGGGAAGGGAGAGTGACATTTTCTGATTCAGACACACAGAGAGCAGAGAGGTTTCTTCATGCCCTTGTCCATCCGCAGAGCTCTAATTCCGTTTGAAGGTCTGATGTCCTTATAGTTAGTTGATAATTTGAATGTGGTTTTGTCGAGCCTTTGAGAGCTTACGGCAACTCACCGAGTAGTCTTAAGTATTCTGGGGGAGAGAAGAGGGTGTGTGATTTAGGTGGCAGCCGCACCGTTAACTGATTTCTCACCTGCCGGGTGCTGAGAGCCGTTATGGCTGAGCAGGGCCCCACCGTGGACGAGACAGGCCAAGTGGTGGCCTCGTAGAGCACATGGTCTGTGAGACAGAGGTAGAGGCCAGACGACAAAATCATTGCAGTCATGGTGGGGGAGGGGAATTCACTAATGGGATGGTTAGAGAAGGTCTCCATGGCGACATGAATAGAGACTGGAGGAGGAGAGGCAGCAAAGCACGGAGCTACTTGGGGGAAACAGCGAGCCAGGCTGGGGGAACAGCCAGTTCAAAGGCCCTGAGTCTGGGCTGTTCCGGAGGGAGCTAAAGGGATGAGGGGAACCTTTTCCTCCCCTCGTTTCTTCTCTCTTTCATCTCCCTCTCCCCATCTCTCTCTCTCTCTCTGTTCCCTGTCCCCTTCCATCTCTCTCTCCCCTGAACGCTCACCCTCTTTTTTTGTTCCTCTCCCACCGTCTCCCTGTCTTGCACTCTGCTGTGACTGGCCATAACCCAAAAGGCAGTATAGAATAGTGGTTAAGAGCTCAGACTTTGGTGCCATATAAACGGGCTCTGCCACTTCCTGGCTGTGTGTCCTTAGGCAAGTTACTTAACCTCTCTGTGCTGCTGCTGCTGCTGCTGATGACAATAATAGCAACCTGCATCAGGGCTGTCATGGGGATTAAATTGAGCTGCAATACGTAAAGCACTTAGAACAATGCCTGGCACACATGAGCATCAGTAAGTGGTGACGATTATTATTATTATCACTTAATGTCTCTTTTTCTTTCATCTCTCTCGACTGTCGCCCTCTCCCTGTCCTCTCATTTTTCTCTCCCGTCATTTCTGTCCTGACATCCATCTTACCCCCTCGCTCCTTCTCTCTTCCCATCTCTCCTCTCCATCTCTCCCCCCACCCCTATGTCTTTCTTCCTCTCTCCCTGTATCTTGACCTCTTCCTGTTTCTCACCCCCCAACCCCCCTCCCCCACCCGGCCCCCTTGTCACATTCCAGACTCTCGGAAGACTCCCAGTCCTCGCTCCTCTCCAAACCCGTCAGCAGCCTGTTTCAGAACTGGCCCAAACCACCTCTGCCGCCACTCCCCACGGGGACCGGGGTCCCCCATTCGGCTGCTGCGGCCCCCGGGGCCACCTCACCCTCAGCCTCCTCCTCCACGTCCACCCGCCACCTCCAGGGTGTGGAATTCGAGATGCGGCCGCCCCTGCTCCGCCGGGCCCCCAGCCCCTCGCTGCTGCCCGCCTCGGAGCACAAGGTCAGCCCTGCGCCCCGGCCCTCGTCCCTGCCCATCCTGCCTTCTGGACCCCTCTATCCGGGCCTCTTTGACATCCGCAGCTCTCCCACTGGAGGGGCAGGAGGCTCGGCCGACCCCTTTGCCCCTGTCTTTGTGCCACCGCACCCGGGGATGTCTGGGGGGCTTGGCGGAGCCTTGTCAGGAGCCTCGCGCTCCCTCTCACCAACCCGCCTGCTTTCGCTGCCCCCGGACAAGCCGTTTGGCGCGAAACCTCTGGGGTTCTGGACCAAGTTCGACGTGGCTGATTGGCTCGAGTGGCTGGGCTTGGCGGAGCACCGGGCCCGGTTCCTAGACCACGAGATCGATGGATCCCACCTGCCCGCTTTGACCAAGGAGGACTACGTCGATCTGGGTGTGACCAGGGTGGGCCACCGCATGAACATCGACCGGGCTCTCAAATTTTTCCTGGAGAGGTGATGGCTGGCTTGGACGGACCAACCCGTCCACAGAACCCTTGAGCCCACTGGCCTCTGGACCTTTGACCCCTGACCCTTATTCTCTCCCTGGGCCAGGGACTCTGCTAAAACTGTGCCCTGCCCTCATCTCCCAAGGCTGGAGGTCACCAGGTGGCCTGATTCCAGCCAGACATTTGCACCTCACAGGAGGGGGCAGCTGACAAGAGACTGTGTGTGTGTGAAGTGGGGAGCGGAGGGAGTGGGAATGGAAGAAATCTCAGAGGGGATGGAGAAGGAGGGAAGGGTCGATTCTGGGAGGGGGGGACAGACAGAGCCATAGAGGGCCACCCTGAGCCTGACTGGATGGGGGTCACCCCCCAGGCCGCAGGGGAAGGGGGTGCCCTCAGATTCCACCACCTGCCACCCCTCTAACTGCCCTTTCCCCCCTCTCCAGGCCCCTCTCCTCTCCCTGCCTTCCCCGGCCCCCGGCGCACACAGCAGCCCCCCAGCCTCCTGCACGCTCCTTTGCACGCCTGCTTGCCTCTCCCCCCTCCCTGGGCTACAATTTTGCACAAATTTGCCCTCTCGCTGTCTTGCACACTCCGCCTTCGCTTCTGTCCCGTGAGGCCCTCTCGGCTCTGTTTCCCGTGCACACATTGCATTGCTTTTCCCACGCTCCACGCGCCTTGCTCTGTCTGGCTCTTGCTCACACGCTCATCCCGTGGCGTCCTCCCTGACACTCCTCACTTCTGAAAATCTCTGGGCCCTTGCTGCAGACACACTTGGGACACCCTTTCCCAGACCCACCCCCAGGCTCTGTGCACACATTCGTTCTCTGGAATACCCTTCTCTTCGTTCAACCCTTGCACCCTGGCGACCCCGTGCGCTTCTCCTAACACGCTGGCCTGCATTTTATTTAAGCACTTTCTCCTCTTGTCCTTGAACCTCCACCTCCTTTCTCTCCCCCCGGCCCCCCCCCCCCGACTTTTGCTTGTCACAGTGATGCTCCGGTGCCCCTGCTTACCCCGTCCCCTCTCACAGTCACTTCTTACCACGTGGCTTGCACACTCGCTTCCCAGGAACCGTTTGTTTCTCTCTCAAATGCTCATCCCTCGCCTCTTTGCCAGGCTCCCACTTCCCTGCCCCCTCCTTTCCCAAATCTTTGTCCGTCTCCATCGACGCTTTTGTGGACCTTGCACACTCTCGCACATGCATCCTCCCCCGCACTTCCACTGCTCTTTTGAAGCCTTTTTCTTTCCTTGAACGATGTTCTTGCACACCATGGCTTTGCCGCACACTCATTCTTGAATTTCCACTTGTTCTTGTCAGCTCCCGGGCAACTTTCTCCGCCTCCCCGGGGGACTCTGCCGCCTCTTGCCTTTTGCACACTCGGCTCACCCCGCACTCCTGGCCTGTACTTTGATTTCTTTTCTTGGCAGGTTCCTTTTCTGTCCCTGTGAAGGAACAGCTCCTGTGGCCATTCGCAGTCTGCCTGTTCTCTCATGCCTTTACGCTCTTTTCTCTTTCTGGCAAGAGAAGACCTTACGCACACTCCCTTCTTGCTCGCCCTGCTTCCTCCTCTCCCTGCTCTGGCCTTTGCCCTCTTGTATGCCCTCCCTCCTCTGGCCCTTCCCAGTCCTTCCCAGGCCTTCTGTCTTTCCATTTTGCACGAAGACCTCCACCCCCCAACACTTCATCTCTCCAAAAACTCCTCCTCCCTCCAGCATGGCTGTTCCTTCCCGCACGCTTCCCCACTCCCCTTTATTCCTGGGGCTTGGAAATTTTAAACCACCCCTTCCCCTGGGAAGCCCCCTCCCCTACTGTGGGTAAAGGGGGGAGGGCATCGCCCTCAGGTCCCCCCCATGTTCAGCTGCCAAAGAAGGGAGCTCCCCCTCCTTCCCCCAAGCCCATTCCCCCTCTGCTGCCCCCCACCCCCGAGGGGGGGGGCTCCGTCCATGTGGGGGAGGGTGCTTGCAGCCCTCTCCCCTCACCACGTCAGGGATCTGCGGGGAACCTTGTGGGAGGGTCGTGGGAGGGGGGAGGGGTGGCAATGAGGGGGCGGAGGTCGCGCTGGGCCCCTGCCCGCCCCCTCCCCCTTGTCGGATGCCCCCGTCCGCAGGGGGCCTGCGCGGCGCCTGTCTATCAAGGGCTTGATCATTCTGGATGGGTGCCGCGGGGTTGGGGAGGGTGTAGGGGGTGGGGAGGGGGGGAGGAGAGGTCGGGTGGGGAGGGGGAAGGGACTGGATGGGGGTGCAGCGCGGGGCGGAAAGGAGAGACAAAGCAAAAAGAGTTACAATAACAAAAGAAAATGCAAAAAAGAAAAAAGTACCCTAGAACACAAAAAAATCCAGAAAAAAAACCTGAAATAAAAGCCCGGAGAATTGTCTTCCAAGGGGGGGTGGGAGGAGGAACAGGAGGGGGGCGGATGAGGACCTTTGGTTCTCGCTGAGACAGGGATCGGCACGCGATGAGAGCCCCGGCGCCCAGGTCTTCCCTCTCGCGGGCCTCAGTTCATCCCTCAAGGGATTGGGACCCAGGCGCCCATTTGCAGGGACTGGGGGAAGATTAGGAAGGCGGCATTATATTATGGGGGTTCGTTCCTACCCCCCATCATCTCCCCTGACTCCCCACCAAGATTTTGCAGAGAGAAATGGCTTTTGTACCAGGTCATTCTTTATAATTAAACTCACAGTATCCACCCCCTCGAGCTGGCCCCGCCTCCTTCCTGGGGAGGTAACGCCCCCTTTCTTCCCGGGTACCGGGAGAGCCGCCCGAACCAGCAGGGCGGTGCGCAAGCGCAGCCGGAGCCCGTCCCCACTTGTCAGTCTTTCTCAGTCGGCTCCGCCCCCAGAGCCTCGAGCATGCGCCGTCGGACCAGGGAGCGGCGCAGATGCAGGCGATAATCGTTCAGCAGCAGTTCGTCGTGGCGCACGAGAGGGTGCGTTGACCCGCGGAGACAGAGCCCTGAGCGCAGCAGGCGGGAGCGGGTCTGGAAGTCTGTGACCGTGATGAGCCACCTGCGGGGGGGCGGGCCAAGAAGAGAGGGGCGGGTGGAGGCGGAAGGGTCATCGCTGGTGGGCCCAGCCCCGCCTTTGTCGAAATGTCCCTGCTTGGACCCTGTGCGTTTACCGACTCCGATCCCTCAACCCGTCACTCCGTCGCTAAACCTCTCTCCGGTCCTGACCTGTCGCCGAGGTCCACCTGTACTTCAACCCTCACCTGGGTCATTCTAGGCCCCGTCTTCTCTCTCGGCCTGGTTTTGTTCCTCTAACCGAGGTCAAACTACCGCTCTAAAGCCAGACCTTCACCCAGCATTTCCAGACTTCGCCCCCTTCATTGAACCCCACCGTTTTAGTGTGGCTCTCAGGCCCGTGCCTTGATATTCATCCCTCCGGGGCCCGGCCCCAGCTCTACACCCATCCCTGAGCCCCGCCCCTACAATGCCCTCGGTCTAGGCTCCGCCCCCACACCCCTCGGAACTGCCGGCCTCCGTCAGCACTTTTATCATTCAAAGTCCCTTCCAGCCCCCGCCTTCTCTCGATCTCACCTGGTCCTACACCCTCACCGCGCTCACTCTCGGCTCCGCCCCTTCCCCGTGCCCACTATCAGCCGCGTCATCCCCTCCTTTCAACAACCCCGCGCTTCTGGAACCGCTCCAGGCCCTGCCTCGGCCCCACTACCTTAACTTCTTAGACTCCGCCCCCTTCACTCGCTCTCACTAGACCCCACCCTCGCAGGCCCCGCCCCGGACCAAGCCCCGCCCCTCACGGCCCCTCCAGGCCCCGCCCCGGCTCTCCGTCGCTCCACCCCTCCCGGTCGCTCCAGGCCCCACCCGAGCCGCGGGCTCACCGGTCCCTGCGCCCCGCAGTCCCACAGATGACGTTCAAGTTCTCAAAGCGGATGCTGCTCACGCGGCCGCTCTCCATGGCCCCGGGTAATGCGGCCTCCAGCGCCTCCAGCACCTCCAGGTGGGTAAGGTCCTCGTCAGGCTGGGAAGGCGGAGAGAGAGCCTCAGCCGGGACTGCGGGTTCGCACCGGCTTCGGAAATCCCCACCCTACACCCCACCTGCAGAACTTGCCAGAGTCCCGGGTGGCATTTGAGGGGCAAGTATCACACCTGATCAAAGAGTCCTGTCCCTCTTGGCAGAGTAGGGAGGACAGACATCTCTCAGGTAGAAAAGCAGCTACTGTCATTCAGGGTCATTCTCCAAAAAACCAGTTCTCACCAGGCTGACTTGTCAAAAGTCAATGAACAGTTGGCGGAATGATTCACCAATCTGGCCGGCTTTGCCAACCTACTGAATACTCCAGCAACCTGCGTTGGATGGCAAGCTCTTGGAGACCTCGGCAAGGATTTAAGTCGCCTACTTTTCCTTTTATATTCATGTTAGCTTTTTAAGGAATGTTCAGTTGTCGAAAACTAATAAGGATCATTGGGGGTTTTGACTTCTTGTGACTCTGTTTAACATTCAGAAATATATATTAATCACCATCAATTTTCAGCATGTCCAAGGTAATGCCATTATCATAGCGTATAAAACTGCGGAGGAGCTAAACTCAAGGCATGAAACTGTCTCCTCCAGGAAGGCAAGCCCTGGCTGTGTAGGGGGGAGGAGAGAGGGTTCCACGTTCAAAGCCATAAAGAAGGGGAGCGATGGGGTGGGGGTTTGTCCCTAAAACCACGACAGCAATCCTTGTGTTGGGGAAAAGTCACCCAGATCGGCTGAGGGGCACACGGTGAGTGTCCCATTCATGCCCACTCTTCTCATTTAACTTTTGCACAAGTGAGACCCTGATAGAGACACCGTCTCTGACTGAGGTCAGGGATCACCAAAGGATTTGTACACTGAATGACCAGTTTGCTGACTCTATTAAAAACACGGGATTTTTCCTACGTTTTCTCTATATGTGTAAAGCATACAGAATTTCATAGATGAATTAGCAGTAAATGAATTTCACAGTAGATGAATTAGCAGGACCCCTTTTGTCCTCCCCTCTCGGCCTTTCGATCTCTGCTCTTCTCTGCCCCTCGCTCTCGCCACCTCTCTGCCCCTCTGGGATAGGCAGTGATACATTTGGCGATTTAGTCTGACAAATTCACAATCAATTTTCAGCGACCTGCCCTGGTGCCAAGCCCACAGCCGGTAAGCGCCAGAGCCTGGGCTCGGACTCTGTCCAGCTGGCTCTGTGCCTGCGGGCTTTCCACCACCGCACCCAGTGCCGCCAGGGCTGGAACCACTCACCGAGGTCTCCATGCACAGGCAGAGGGGCTGGGCTGTGGGTGGCGTGGGGAACTTCCGGATGCAGGGGAGCTCTCGGTCCAGTGCCTCATATTCTGCAATGACCTGGCGCAAGTACTGCTTCCTGGGGAGAGAGTGAGAAGGCAAGGACCTCCAAGGCCAGGGGTCACTGTCATCACGCTCCAGGGAGCTGAAGTCAGAAATCATGGGGCAGGGGATCACTCACGAGGACTTGGTGGGCCTGCCCAGGCTCCACGCCTGCGTCTCTTCTGAGGTCTCGAGGTCCGCAACGAGGGCTCCTGGGGACAGAGAACCCAGCGTCAGGTGCCCTGAGTGCTCACACATTATTCCGCTTAAATGGGCATCACCAAGTGCTGTCCACGCCACTCCCAGAATAGCTCTTGTTATTAAGCTACTGACTCTCAGCTTCAAAGGCCACTCAGACACCAGGCTCTACCAACCCCATTTCATCTCTGACAGCTGGGTTCCTGGTAGAGTCCTGTTAGGCTCTGCCTAAAGGTGGTGCTAGAGGGAGACCGGAAGGCAGGAGGAAGAGGAAGGGACTTCACCCTTTATGGCTTCCCATGGCAGCCACCCCAGCCTTGCTTCTTTACAGTGTCAGTTTGCTCCAGCAGCATCATTTGAATCCAGTCTGTGGTTTTTCCAGCACTCTCAGAAATAGCCTTCTCATATGGAACTTGACTGATAACAGGTCTCAAATCTGGGCCCTTCTACACAACCCCACAGTCAGCTAATTGGTTCCTTATGGCTGGCTGCCAGTTGCTCCACATAATCCATTTTTCCCTTCCTCTACAGTCCTAGAGTTTTACGTGTACATGGCCGCCCAGCTAGAGACAACAGTTCCCAGGTTCCCTTGCAGATAGGTGTGGCCATGTGACCAAATTCTCACCCACAGTGATAGAGGGAATGAGGATGCATCTTTGGAGTCATGTGCTTAAAAGTAGATTGTTCAGTTTGACTGGTTGCCCCTTCCCTTAAACCAGAATGTGGATGTGTACATAAGCCAGCTTCAACCATGCTAAAGATGATGGAGCCACAATATGGAGGGAACCTGGGTCCCTGAGTCATCTCTTGGGGTTACATGTCTCACCCATCTGGAACATCTGCTTCCCAATACACAGGAGAGAAATAAACTATCTTCTTAATGCCAATGTGTTTGGGGGTCTCTTTGTTACAGCAGTGGTACAAAGCGGAATGCAGCCCCTGACAGCCAGGAGCTGGCCTGGCATCCCAGGCTGGCTCTGGTGCTCTCCTGTTGACATAAACAATTTCACGGAGCACCAACATCAGCAAGGCCACTCTGTGACCAAGATAAAAATAAGATTGCTCCAGAATCATGTCTCAACACAACAAAATGGGAACACCGCCCGAATCACAAAAATAACCAAACATCCTCCTCTTGGCTCAGAGCTGACGCTGCTGCTTTTACAATCATAGTGCTAGCTCCATTCACTCCTCCTGCCTCCACTTCCTGCCAGCATCTGATCCACAGCAAAGCCTTGCTTCACCAAATCCTCCCAAACCCACCTACAGCAGCCTACCTCCCATAAAAATTCCCCTCTGACACCCCCTTGCTCAGATGTTGCATGTGCTAGGGTGCCGTTCATTACAAGTCAATGAGCTCACTGGTGTGCCCCGCCACACGCACGGATTGCAGCACTTGTCAGTTTGCATCATGTCAATACTCCCACCACAACCAATTTCATGCTACCCACGGTTTTAACAACCAGGTTGCAAAACTCAACAATGGGCTCTTGTGAGCTGGGACACGTTGTTCCCAGCACTCAGCTACGTCACAACTATGCTCCTGGGTGGTTTTGACTTCAGGGCATTGATACAGCTTAGCATGTACCCTAGTTAAGTCCCCTTTTCTAATCCCCATCCTCCCACCTCCCACACGTTCCCGCAGGGCAGCTGGGCCGATTTCGAGGTCTCTGCATCCCGTGCTCACCACCCATCTGAGGTTTCCTTTTGCGGTCAAGGTCACATTCCACTGTTTGAAACACAGCATTTCAGGGTCCACCCCAGACCTACTGAGTTAGAATGTGCATTTTTAAAAAAGATTTTATTTATCTGTTTTTAGACAGAGCGGAAGGGAGGAGAAAGGGAGAGAAACATTACGCGTGGTTGGCTCTCACGCGTCCCCTCCTGGGGACCTGGCCCGCAGCCCAGGCTCGTGCCCTGACTAGGAATCGAACCGGTGACTCTTTGGGTCTCAGGCCGGCGCTCAATCCACTGAGCCACACCAGCCAGGGCAGAACCTGCATTTTAGCAAGAGCCCCTTTGAGAAGCACCTGCCCTGTGTGTGGTCACCCCTGTTGACCTCTCCGATCGTTCTCCTCCAACCATACTGGCCTCCACTCCGCGTCCCCCCCCCCACCCCGCAACCATCTCTTTCTAGAATCCGTCCACTGAACAATAAAAATAACTACGTATTTACAGGCCCTTTTAAGAAGCCAAGCACCTTCCAAAGTTGTCTCATGGCAACTTTCTGAGATAGTGTAGTTTAACATATGATGAAACCAAAGCCCAGAGAGGTTCAGTGGCTTGCCCCAGGTCACAAGGCCCAAAGGGATAGCATCAGGATAAAAATCCAGGTGTCCGGGCCCAGAGTCTGTGCTCCCAGACCCCCTGCGTCTGCTGCCTCTCACCGCACCCTTGTCTACACAACAGCCTCCTGATTCCTCTCTCTCCAGTCACCTCATCAGAATAGCATTTTGAAATATAGGTCTGACCATACCGCCTACTCCCTCCCCAGACTTCTCAGTTGGAGTAGCCCGATTATCCTCGAGGGAAATTAAGTCCAAAGCTCTCGCCGCGGCTCACAGGACCACGCACGACCTGACCCTGCCGTCGTCTTAAGCCTGCTCAGGCACGGTCCTCCCCGTTAAGAACTGCCCTTCTGTGGCTGGCACGTCCTGTGTCCCCTCCTCCCTCAGGACGTTGGTCTTTAAGCAAAAGAGCGTACAGTCATCTGTAGAAACTTCCCAGAATTCCCTTCAGCCCCGAGACTCAGGAGCACTTACGGCCATCGTAGGCTATTAATTATTTGTGAGATGATGTGTTTCGCGTCTGCCCTCCCCGCATAAGGACAGGCTGGGTCATTTCATTCATTTGGCTCTATGGGCAAAACACTTGCGACCCATGGGCTTTTTAATGGCCAACGCCAAAGTTTGCAACCTGATAAGCGAAAAATGTTACTGGTTCCAAAATACCATGAAGAAAACAGCAAAGCTAAAAATGAACAAAAGTTGATATTCAAAACCAGCCAACTGCCAACTGGTTGACTCAATTCCACTCAGCTTTCCTGGAACTATACACTATATATATATTATATATATTTTACATATATATGATTTTAATCCTCACCCAAGGATATGTTTATGAATGAAAGAGAGCGAGAGGAACATCGATGTAAGAGAGAAACATCAATTGGTTGCCTCCTGTACACGCCCTGACCAGGGACCCAAGCTACACCCAAGGTATATGCCCTGACCAGGAAGGAAACCCACAACCTTTTGGTACACAGGACGACACGCCAACCAACTGAGCCACCATCCAGGGCTCCACTAATTATGTTGATCAGGTAAGTGCGTCAGTCTAGGTTAGAGATGGCGTAAGGTGGGGTCTCCAAAAGGAAGTCCCAAAGGCACTGAAAGAGAACTGAGGACGGAGGAGTGGTGTCTGTTTTGCCACCGGAGCATTTGTGATGCCTAGCATAGCATCTGGCACACAGTAGGTGCTTACAGAAGACACCTGGAAAGGAGACCTCACCAGCCATTCCCATCCTTCTAACCTATTTGACGGGGTCCCTCCTTCACTCACGCGATTCAAGGGAGGCTCCCTGAGTCCCCGCTCCCTTGCGGGTATCCCATCCAACTTAAACCAGCCCCAGTGGTCTTCATAATTACCTGGTAAGCATTAAAAATATATAGATGCTAAGACTCCAGTCCGATAGACACAGGTTAAATTGGATCTGAAGTGGGGTTAGAGGGTTGTTTTTTTTTTTTAAATCCCCCCACCTGATGTGTAGCTAAAATTGAGGACCACTGACTAAAAGAAGCATGGTAATGTCATTCCTTTTGCCACCAATTGAGATAAGAGTGAGCAGGGGACTGAGTGCTCATCAATGAAATATGAGAAGTGATCATTTGGGAGATCTTAAGAAGAAGACCTCTGGGAGTGATGCCTGGAACTGTGGCAGCCCTCTTGTGACCATGAGGTTAGCTGGTGTGCAAAGGGAATATATATCCTAGATCAAAAATCATGGAAATAGAAATAGAGTCCTCAGTGACGTCATTGAGCTGCTGATTCAACCAAACCCAAACCCAACCTCATTTGTGAGCTTCTTTTTGGGTGAGATAGCGATTTTCTTATTCTTTACACCACACTAAGCCTAGTTTTCTATTACCTGCTTGAATGAGTGAATGAATGAATGCACCGTGTTAAAGTAGAATGCAAGTAGCGAGCTGTGGAACGTGAGCCTGAACTTGCCCGCCGGTGTCAGGCCACACAGGGCCTCGAACACCAGGCGGAGGGTCTGGGACTCTGTCCTTGGAGAGATGAGGAACAACGGAGAGCCGTGAGCAGGGGGGAGAGAGAATCAGCTCTGGTGCCAGAAAGAACCCCCTGGAGGCATGTGGTGATGCTTGGAGGGGAGAAACTGGAGGCCCGCAAGTTAGGTGAAGAAAGGGTCCATTGGGAAGAGGACTAGACATAAGCTGGGGCTGTGGGGATGGAGAAACAAGGGTAGGGCAGAGGGAGTGGGCAGGAAGGGGGGACTGGGGACTGCTGGCGGTAGGAGGGAATGGGCGGTGCAGCTCCTGGGATCTGGCCCAGTGATCGGGCCGGCACTGGGGCCATTAGAAGATGGCAAACAGGGAGGAGTGGCTTTTGGGAAAGATGCTGAGGACCGTGCGGGTGACCAGGAGAGTGTGAGGGACCAAGGCAGGGGTCCAGGGGAGATAATGGCCTCAGCAGAGTAGTTAAGGCCACAGAGGTTCATGGGAAATGTAGTTCTGGGTCCAGAACATTGGCCAGGAAACTGCAGAGGCTCATGGGAAATGTAGTGTGAGGTCCAAAGGGTACTACTGTTCAGGATTCTGGTCGACCTAAGAGTCTGGGTGGCTCTCTCTCTGGCATGCCAGCGACTCACTTGGGGGCCACAGGGCAGGCCAGGGCTATGACACAATGCGTGAAGGAAATCCCCACCGCAGCCCCATGCAGGGACACAGGCACAAACATGCAGACAGACGCAGCTCAGTACCTGCTTCCCAGGGCACGTTGGGGGTGCCCGTGGCGGAGCAACACAGGGCCTCCACATCTTGCTGCATCCTGGGAAGGCGGGTGGGAGTTGTCTCAGGAGGGTGGAGACAAGAGGTCTGACTGAGCCACCCATCCCAGCTCCTTCTCCCCACTGAGGCCTCCTCTTCCTTTTTGAAGCCACAGGGAACCCATATGCAGCGATCAGAAGGCTGAGACCACATCGAGATCCTGGCTCCCCTAACCTCAGAGAGCTCCCGCATGTCCCCATTCCTTCTTTCCCACTTTCCTGTTTCTTCCTCTCTCTCTCCCTGTCTCCTTGGGTCTCTCCTTTCTCCTCTCTCGCTCCCTCTCTCTCCCTCACGCTCTCCCCCTCTCTCCGCCCCCCTCCCTCTCTCCCTCTCTCCCAGTCTTGTTCCCCTGATTTCTAATCCTTCGCCCCATCTCTCCTTTCCTCTTCCCCTTGATTTCTCTGCCCGCTTCGTCCCCACTTCTCTTCCCTTCCCTGGTTCCATCTCTCCAGTCTCCTCTTGTATCAGTTTCCCCAACGTCTCCCCCGCCCCCCATCCCTGTCTCTGTTCATGGCTGTCTGCCTCTCTCCGACCCCATCATCCTCTCTCCATCTTCCTTCCTCCCTCCCCATCTCTCCCCTTCCTTCCTCCATCTCTCCTCATCTCTCCTCTCTCATGGCTGCCTCTGCTCTGCTTCTGGGTTCTCCTTCCCTCTGTCACCCCCTTTCTGTTCCCACTTGCCCTCCGCTCATCCCTGCCTCACGCAGCTACTGGTCAGACTCAGTTAAGATTCAAACAGAAACTGGATTCTCTGTGGGGGAGGGAAAGGTGAGGGAGGGGCTTGGTTGCCATGGTACCTACAGGAGGGGGAGGGGCTGGGGACTGTGACTTGGGAGTCTGAGGGAGGAGGGGGCTGGGAGCCTGGATTCCTGGGCCTGAGGAGGAAGGGTCTCGGGGCTCCTGGACCCCCAGTGAAGGAACGAAGTGGTCTAACCACATAGGAGCCCACTGGGCGCCCCTTCCTTTGCAGAGGTCTGAGCAGGAACTGTGCCAGAGGAGGCTGGACTTTCTTAGTGCTTCTGTCTGTCCTCCCCGTAGGTCTCTGTGCCCGTATCTCTAGTTCTTTCCGCTTCCAGAGGGTCTCTGTCTAGACTGCCCGCTACTCCCGCTCGGGAAGCAGCGTTTCCCTGCTTTCTAGGTAGTAGCGCCTCGATTGTCTGAGTGGTTTGTTCAGGGGTGAGCTTGAAGATCAATCAAGGAAGCAGTCAACACTTGGACTTTTGCTGAACTCGTTATTAAAGGGGATCTTTGTTTTTCCACTGAGGTCGCCAGGCCAGTCAGAGTCTAGATTGGAGCTGCGGGGAGCCGTCACATCGCCATATGGTGAGGAGACAGCCCGCCTGAAAGCAAAGGCCAGAGGGAAGCAGAGACCGAAGATGCAAACAGTCAGATTCCGGATGAGGCTTGGGCTGCCGGGACCCGGCCGTGCCTGAATCCCTCGCCCACACCGTTAATTCCCCACTCTGCTTCCGTCACTTGAGTTTCCGTCATTGGCAATGGAGAGTCTAGACTCGACTAGACTCATTTCCGGACTCAGTTCCCCTGCTTGTGCGGGTCTCTGTCTGCGGTCAGGCTGTTTTCCACTTCCAGTGGCCGCGCGCGCCCCTGCGGGGCAGAAAACAGCTTTCATTCCTGGGACCGCAGGCACCGTAGCCCTCCGAGCCCAGGCTCCACCCTGCTGCCCGGGCCCCCCGCCCCTACGCTTCCTCTCCTCTTCATTCCCACAGCCAGGCACCCACCCGGGCTCTGTCCTCTCCTGCCTGCGCCCTCCCCTCAGCCTCCTTCTGGCCCCCCACCCTCACTCCTTCCCCCACAGGGCTCCGGAGGGCTCTTTCTGCCCCTCCCCTGCTCACAGCTCCCCCGGCATTGCAGCACCTCACCCAGGCCTCTGAGATCCACATGGTCGAGTCCCACTCCCTTCCCATCTCACCCCTCACACATTCTCCAGTTGCCTTTGAGGAATTATTTTATTTAACAAGCGCCTCCCAGCCCACTCCTGTCTCCACTCTCCACATGCTGCACCTTCTAGAATGCCCTTCTGGACTCCCCTTTTCCCAGTGCCAGAACGCCCTCATCTTTTAATAAGAAGCTCAAATGCTCCCTCCTCCAGGAAGCCTCCTCGGACTCCTCATCCTCCCAGCTGTGTCTTCTGCATTCTTCCTCCGCGCATTTTTTTTTTAATCTGCTCCTTTCCCAGACCTCTGAACACTGTCTGCTCCACCTGTCTTGTTGACAGATTTAAACTCGTGTCTGCCTCCCTCCACCAGACTGACAGCTCCTAACTCCCCTCTGGCTCTCCAGCATCACCTCCCTCAGGGAAGTGCAGAACGCATATGTCAAGTGAATAAACCAGTGACTAACTCCTTCTATCACTACGCCCAGACTCAGCAGCCCCAACCCCATCCTCCCTGTCCCATTTGGTCCTCTCAGGGCAACACAGAGTGAAGAAGAAAACAAGGACTCTGGAGTCAAACAGCCCAGCATCGTGTGCCATGTTCAGGCTGTGCAACCTTGGGCCCATGTCTTCTCCCCTCGGAACCTAGCTTTAGCTGCCTCTTCTGAAGCTCTCTCTTGCTTCCCTCCTCGGAGGGGTCCCCCCTCTCTCTCTCACGCTTTTGCTCTTTCCTTCTAAAGCCAGTGTCTCTGTGTTTCCTCTATGTGTCTCCATTTCTCTGTGTCTTTATTTTGTTCATTCATTTATTTTTAGAGAGAGGGGAAGGGAGGGAGAGAGGGAGAGAAACATCAATGTGTGGTTGCCTCTCGCACGCCCCCTCCTGGGGACCTGGCCCGCAACGCAGGCGCGTGCCCTGACTGGGAATTGAACCGGCGACTCTTTGGTTCCCAGGCTGGTGTTCAATCCACTGAGCCACACCAGCCAGGACTGTGTCTTAATTTTTCTTCCCCTCTCTCTCCCTGTCGGTCTTTGGAAGTCTGCTGCATCTCGCTGTGTGTCTATCTATTCAAATAGAAATTTCTATTTCTTGTGTCTCTATCTGATGTCTTTCTGCGTCTGTCTCTATAACTTTCTGCAATTCTCAGTCTGTCTGTGAGTGAATGCCTGTCTCCATTGCTCTATTTCTCCATCTCTGTTGCTCTGTATCTGTCTATCTCCTTCCTTGTCTCTCTGCCTTAATGCCACCTTTCTTCCTCTGTCACTCACCCCATCTCTCTCAGACCATTAGCTGTCCCACTCCCTGGTCTGGCACACAGCCTGGGACACAAATACCTGAGTCAGCATTTTCTTCCTATTCCAGAAATTATGTCAGTGCCGCAGTGGGAGGCGGGGCTGGTTGTAGCCTGTAGCCTGGTCAGAGGGTTTGCCTCCCTGCATCCTCCTCCGCGCAGGCCGCGGCCCGCTTGGCCTGCCCTTGTTCCCAGTGCTGGTCCTCTCCAGGGGGAGCACCAGGAGAAGGGGTGTACCTGTGTTTACACATGTGTGCATGCCTGTGGGTGTGAGTCTGCATTTAGTTCCAGGCACATTTGCGTGTGAATCCATAGATATTTGTGCGAACTCATTTGTTCACTCGTGCACCCACGCATGTGGCCATGCAGCATCCACCCAACTGTCCATCCATCCAGCTCTCCATCCACCCTCCCACACGTCTATCCTTCCATCCATCCACCATCCACTCATCCATCCACTCATCTACTCATCTATCTATCCATCCCCTGTCTTTCCATCCGTTCATCCGTCCATCCGTCCTTCCTTTCATTCATTCATCCATCCATCCGCTCGTTTACCCACCCAATGTACCCATTCATCCACCCGTCCCTCTATTTATCCACCTGCTCGTTCATTCATTTATTCATTCAACCAACCAATATTTATTGAGTGTCTACTGTGCGCCAGGCCCCGTCTCAGGCAGTGGGCACCCAGCAGTGAACAAAACAAAGTTCTGCCCCCAGGAAGCTCCTGTGCTCAGCAGTCCCCCTCAATAAGCCAAACTCCCTCCTGCCTCGGGCCTTGCGCCGCTTGTTCCTTCTCCCTCATGCTGTTCCCCGCCGCCTCCCATCTTCACCCGGCCCGTGCCCGCTCACCCTTCCGAGCTCAGTGCACATGTCACTTGCTCCGTGACCTCCTTCTCCCGCTCACAGCACGCTGGACTTCCCACCGCGGCCCCCTTGTCCCAGGGCTGGGATTTTTGTCTGCGTTGTTTCCGCTGCATGCCTGGTGCCTAGAACAGCGAGCGCTTGGCACACAGTAGATGCTCAGTACGCATCTATCCAATGGCTGCATGAATTGAATTGAATGAATGCAGATGCCTCTCTGTGTCCTGGCCCCCGGTCCAGCGCTCCATGCTGTTCTACAGTCCCAGCGTCGATGATGACAGTCAAGGTGCTCAGACCTCCTGGAGGCCGACAACGTAGTGGCAGGACTCGACTCCGACACGTCCCAGCTGTGTGACCTCCGGCAGGGTACTTCCCCTCTCCGAGCCTCAATATCCTTGCTTGTAAAATGCAGTAAAGAGTATATAGGAAACCCTGACTGGTGTGGCTCTGTGGGCTGGGCGTCCCCCCGCCCCCGCCACAAACCAAAGGGTCATTGGTTTGATCCCCTGTTGGGCACATACCTGGGTTGTGGGCCGGGTTTCTGGTTGGGGACGAGTGAGAAGCAACCGATCAACGTTTCTCTCGCACACCGATGTTTCTCTGCCTCTGTTTCTCCCTTCCTTCCGCTCTCTCTAAAAATAAATAAAACATTTTTTTAAAAGAACCCATAAGCGAAGCATGTAATTACTAATTATGAGAATACTGCTAAATACTAGGCAACTTTTCACCGCGTATACATTTAATTTAATCCTCAGAATAACATAATGACATAGAAACTGGGGTTTGAAAAAATTCTCCTCACTTACGATCAGGGTAAATGAGGCACTGAGAATGGAAGTAATTCATCCAAAGTTACACAGTGCAGACAGAGCAGAGCTGGGATTTGAACTCTGGGGTTTTGCACCCAAGCCTCACGCGCTGACGGGAGAACTACAGCTGCCTCCCAACGC